ATGTCTCCAATGTCTTTTTCCCCACTTGGAGCCGAACCCAGAAGGACATTTCTTACATCAGTGGCAACCCCTGAAATATTGGAAGACTGCTATCATGTCTCCCCTAGTCTTTCTTTTCATTAAACTAGACATACCCAGTTCCTGCAACCATTCTTCATATGTTTTAGTTTCCAGTCCCCTAATCATCTTTGTTGCTCTTCTCTGCACTCTTTCTAGAGTCTCTACATCTTTTCTACATCGTGGCGACCAACTGAATGCAGTATTCCAAGTGTGGCCTTACCAAGGCATTATAAAGTGGTATTAACACTTCACGTGATCTTGATTCCAAGAAGTTCCAATATGTCCAAGGTACTGTGCCAATGAAAATGGAAGGGGAAAACTTCACCTGCTCCCTGCTTAAAGCTAGCTCCTAAAATTATTTTGTATATAACTTATGGAACCCAATATTTGCCCAAGGAAAGTTGTATGTGGGAATGCTATACTTGGGAAATATAAAGTATTGAATCATTCAAAGTGTCTTCAGTTGAAAACTGCAACCAGAAAAATGAAAAGTTTAGATTGTGTTTAAGAAGGAGTTTCATGTAAGTAATGAAAGGGGGAAAGGCAAAGAGGTTGGATTGTGATTTGCAACAAGCCTTGTCACATAGCTTCAGCTGAACCTAGTAATTTAAGCAGCACTCGCTTCACCAAGTAATATAAGTGAAAAATAATCCCAGCACTTTCACAGATGGAAGTAAAAAAAAACCCAGCCCAACAACTTTGAACTACTGAAGACTGAGATTATATATTAGATTAAATAATAGCAAAAACAAATACTTATATAGGTCTGGACCATATTATTGATTTTTGACATTTTGTTTTCAATCATTTAAAAATACACTCACATTTTATATTTTAGAGCCCATAATAGTCCAAAACTTAAGAAGCCTGCCATGAGTATTCCAACAAAGACAGCTGCAAGAATAATGTCTGTTGTACCTAGAGAAGGGGGAAAGCAAATTAAAATGTCAAATTCCAAATATTTAAGTCAAAAGTTTCTAGCGACATTTTAGACAGGGATCAATGAAATCAATGGGATTGATTCCATGAAGTTGCATCCAAGTGAGAAATACATATTTGTGCAGATAACTGAGCTAAGGATATGGCTCTGGCTTCTCCTTACTTCAAACTAATTCAGCTGGTTATCGTGACTAAAATATAATATTGTACAGAATCTTTAGAGCTCATTATCCTGTAAAAGCAAGATGTTAAAAACATCTCTGTTTAATGTTTCTAGCTTTTCCAATTGTAGAAGATTAGCATTGTCTCATTTTCACTCATCTTGGATTCTTTCTAGTTAAAAACAACACAAACATGTCTTAAGTAGAAATGATATATGAAGAGAAAAACTATTTGCCTTGAATAACTTACTAAGTAGTTTAGTCAAAAAGTACATTTCATTTCCCTTTGTTCCTCCGGCGATGGTGTTTGCCATAATCCAAGCTTTGTAATTGGTGTTGGGCTGCAAAGACTTAACGGTGTATTTCAGGATACTGCGGTCCACAGTTTCTTCTATTAAGACATAAATGGAAGGTTAAGTGGTGACCTCACCCAGCATAGAAGAGATGCCATCCCTTCAAGCCTCTTTCATCCTTCATTCCTTCCAAGTGCTTTTATGCTGCTTCAGGCTCTATGTGATTTATAATAAAAGGAGCAGGAAACTCCCTTAGCAATTATGCCGAAAAACTCTTTCTACAGGCCTTTTCCTTGCTCTGCCTTTCATTTTGCTTTCCTCTTAACCACCACTCTGTGAAACATGTCTGAACAGCTCAGGTCATGGTTGTCCCAAAAAACAAAGTCCATTTGCCTTTTGAAAAAGCACCTTGGGGGTATAAAGCCAGATATTTTTCAGAAGAGGTTCTCAGTTTGTCATTTTTAAAGCAAGCTGACCATCCTTAAGTAAGCACAAACATCTTTCCTACAAGCTTTAGCAAAAAATTAGGAAACCAAAGATAATAGGAAATATATTAAAGAAGCAAAGAACATAAGACCAAAAAGAATTAGAAGCCGACTCAAATTATTCCGGGCTGTGGTGTATCTTAGTGGGGGTTCATGTACAGCCCTTTCTGCATTATGTTCAGTAGAGATAAGAAAGCAGAATATATCTGTCAGACCTGGAAGACATTTTTTACATGGGCCTTCAGGCCTCCCACAATTTCTACAATTATATGGAGTATGGGTGATATATAGTCAAAATAACATTCCTTTCTCAGAGAGTCAAGGACGTCTTGCCCTGCAGCTGCGATAGTGTAACTGGGAGGCATCTCCAATTTTGGATGGTGCCTGATTGGATCATGTGATGGACATGTGGGTGCTGGGCATGGACTTGAATTTTCACTTGGGTGGGAAAACCTGGAAACTTTCAGATGGGGTTTTCAATATGACAGCAATGGCAAACCTTTTTTTGCTTGCGTGCCATAAGAGGGGGGAGTGCAGGGGGGTCATGTGCGGGCATGCCACACCCATAATGCAAAACACGAACCCCCAGCGTGCATGCGTGCACGACAGGCGCGAGCCTTCCATTTTTTGCATTCTTTTTTTGCCTTCCCCAGACTCCAGAGGCTTTATAGGAGTCTGGGGAGGGCGAAAACAGCCTCCACGCTCCCCCACAGAGGACCTCCGTAGCTTTCAGGAGCTTCCCTGAAGCTCCGGAGCACAAAAAAACAGCCCTACAGGCAAACCGGAAGTTCAGGAACAGATTTCCGGTCTGCTCGTAGGGCCGGTTTAAGCCCTCCGGAGCCTTCCAGAGGCTTTCCTGAAGGCTCCGGAGGACAAAAAACAACCCTATGAGCAAACCGGAAATGACTTCCAGTTTGCTTGTAAGGTCGTTTTTCATCCTCCGGGGGGCGGGGGAGGCTGTTTTCACCCTTCCCAGGCTCTTATAAAGCCTCTGGAGCCTGGGGAGGGCAAACAACGGCCTCAAAATAAGACTAAAGTCAGCTGGCCAGCTTGTGTGCCTCGTGTGCCCTGACAAATGACTCCGCGTGCCACCTATGGCACGCGTGCAATAGGTTCGCCATCCCGGCAATATGACATAGATATGTCATATTAAACAGATATGTTCAATATGACATATCTAATAAAACGGAACTTTGAAGAAGCTCAAGCCATGGCATTTTCTTTTGTTGGGGGTGTTACTTGGAACACTGCAGAAGTGGGTTTTAGCTGGTCCTGTCCCGCATGCACGTACCAGTTGAAAGAATTTAGTGTGACTTCCCATACCGGGACTTCCAGGGGCCTGGTAACGGAAGGGTCCCTCCCATGGCCTGCCCCCCCCCTGCCCGCTCACCTGCCTGCAGAAGCCTTCCAGGAGGTTTTGGCTGGCAGGTGTATGGAGGGAGGGTGGGGAATCACAGAGGAAGGAAATCACATGGATTCCTCACCCCCTTCATTGGAAACGAGGCGGCTGTCAGAGGAGAGAGCAGCATGTGTCTATGGGCTTGTGCAACGAATCCTCCCTTTATGTTCCTTCTTCTGCTGTTTGAACAAGCCACTCGCTCCCTTGTCTTTGACAGCCACTTCATTTCCAATTGGGGGGGGGGGGAGAAATCCATCTTTTCCGTCCCTCTCCATTGATCCCTGCCCCAATTGGAAATGAGGCAGCTATGACAGACAAGGCAGCGCGTCCCACGTGGTGTGTTCAAACAGCAAAAGAAGGAACATGAAAGGAGTTCCACGCGGGACTTTTCAAACAGAATTGAAATCCACCACTGGAACACTGACAATATCTTTAGAACAGGTTTAGGATTAAGTAGAGTTAACTTGAACAAAGATAGCTAAATGATACAGAGAGACAGCGACAGAGATACTAAGAGAAATGATTTTAGAATAGTACCAAGTTTAAATAAAGACTATTTCAGAGTAAGGAGGCATGCATCTGAAGTTAAAACATTGGCAATAGCTATTCTTTTGTCAGTTTCTATACATACCCAAACGTTTGTTGCCTTCTTCATAAATTATAGTATAGTTAATAATCACTCCATTTCTTTCTGCTTCTGGAATTTCTTTCCATGTTAAGACAGCATAATCTTTATCAGTATTTTCCACTTCAGCTTGAGGGCCTGTAGATGGGACTAAATCATATAGAGTAACTTTAACACTTTCAAAATATCTTAGCAGTTAGTTAGGAAATAGTTCTTCCAACAAAAATGACCAAGGCAGACAACAGAGTTTTAATACTTTGGAAACGGCATGTGCCACTTATATACAGAACAAAATAGCTCACAGGCCCAGGAAGATAATATTAATATATATATAAAGAGAGACTAAATTGAAATTTTTTGGAAAATTCCTGCCTTAAAGGTGGCTGATACTGAAATGTGACAATTAAATCTCATATATGATATAGGTAACAGTTTCATTTGGATGCTATTGTCTATGAATGTTTTGTTTGTGTGTGTGTGTGTGTGTGTGTGTGTGTGTATATATATATATGTATGTATGTATGTATGTATGTATGTATGTACGTACGTACATACATATATATACACACACATACATATATATACACACACATACAT